CTTGTGTCGTTAAAGTTTCGTTGGAACGAAGTTACGGAAAAATTAATTAACACACGGAGACGTAACAATATTGTTTTGAGACTGGCAGATGATTACTGATTTTATATTGAAATATAAAAATCGATAAATACATTTCTAACTAGACCAACTTTTCACTCTCCTGGGTAACGTCCAAGCTTAAACTATTTATACCTACTCTTAAATAGAACTGTAATATAAATATCAACACAGTTGCTAATCTCAGCAACTGTTTGCTTTGTCTTATAAAAAAAGAAATTATGTGACGAATTCTCACATTTCAAAACCAAGTTACATTATTGAAAGCATATCCTAACACACTATTAATGTTGAAAACGGTTTTTTTTTTGTTGTTGTTGTACTATCTGTAACATTCATTAGTAGGCTAGTGCTTCCGTTCCAGAAACGACGACACCTGTCGGCAGACGTTCCAACACGTAACTACACAGTATAATCAACAAATATTTATGATGTTTATAATATTCTATATTCATGAACAATAATATAAATTAATGTTGTTATTTAGAAAATAGGCAATACTAATGACATATCAAAGTATTTCGAATATTGCTAAACCTACACGAGTCAGTGACATGAATTGAATCCAAGAATAGACTAAGTTTCGTAATTCTTCTCCAAACAAATTATAATGCTTACACGACAAACTTTAAAATATTTTTCCCAAAAACAAATAAAAAAATATGTAGAATATATGTCAAAAATCATAACAAAATAATTCATATTCGTGTAATACCAGTATCATTCCTGAGAAGTTAGAGCCTAAATGAGGTTAAAACATAGGCCTAAAATTTGTGATAAAAATCACGCTAACTAATGTTTTTGGTTTTGTTTTTACACAATTATTTTAATTTGTCCACTTCGGATTCCAAATTGAAAGTGTGTAAAATTAGCATTTCAGGTCTAGCTTGTGTCTCCTACAATTCATTTCTGAAGAAACCTTTCCCACAACTCGTCAGCTGGGTTGGACGATGAGGGACGAAAGATTTAAAAAATGTTATACTGCGTAATTCTACATAAGTGACGTTGCAAAAAATCAATTGAATGTCGGCCAGAAAAAACAAAACTGACCTCCAAAATATCTGTTAATGGACCGTACTACGATTTATGCCTTAAACCTTTTTTAAAGGATATTGTAAAATCTTTAAACCTTCTTCGAAATAGATAAAGTTGTTGACCTTTCGAAATATGTACAAGCTCCAGACCTTTAACTTCACCAACACATGGCTGATACAATCGACCTCGTGTCCTAAGGGTAGCTCACGCGATAAAATATAATTCCCAAAAAGATTATGTTTGTTGAATTTTTTGTCGAGTTTTCAATCATTATGCCCAGAAATATACACATTTTTATTACTCTTTTTTTTCAGAAAAATAACAAATGTTGGGTTTTTGAGTTTGTAAAAACTCTGACGGGCGGAAGAATATTTTTCTCTTACATAGAGTGACTCATAGTTTAGCAATTAACTGTATGGGAAGTACGTTTATAACTCATAACATCTAGAAGGATAGCGAATTTTTACGTAGAATTTAGAACATCGTTTTAAAAAATGATTTATTAGTCAAAAGAGAAGCTAGCACCTTCGGTGCGGCAGGAAAACACGTTCATAATGGCGTAAGTAAAACTCATTTTGCTAAATGCGTAAAGTTTTTATTTTTCTCCCTCTGCTTTCAGTATCACTGTAAATCTATACTGTAACTTAAGCCTATTAATACTAGTGTTAATGTTATAGTACGTGGAGGGAAGACGAGATGTAGTATGAACTTGACGCTAGGGAGTGGAGCCATGCCGCCATCTTTGTTAGCCATAACACGTAACGCTTTATTAATTATGCTACCACTGCAAAGCAGAGTGAGGTGTAATGGTTTGCCCCGCGGCCCCTGTTCGTACGTTTCGATCTTATGCCAGGATATTTCAAGATCGGATGAATGAATTTTGACCAAACTTATACAACAGATACGACATGACAACATCATCTAATTAGGGACAATTAAACTTTAAACTAAAGTTAAACATACAGTATAAATATAATATTATTACTTATTAGTAGGGGCACAGGTGTTTCAATTTCTTGGTCATAAACACAATATGCATTTGTTTTAATTGATTATAAACTAAATGGAATACATTACTTGGAAACGTGTATAAATTCAAAATAATGTGATATAGAATGCAGGTTTTAAAATAATTTTATCGTCAAACACATATTACCTTGTTCAAAAGAAATGATTTCTAAACTTTACAAATACTGTCTAATTGAAATGGTCTATGTAAAAATTAGTGTTCTGGGTGATAAACAAATTTTGCTTTAAGGTATTAAAATTACATGTTACAATAAACAAAAATATATTTTTAAACACAACAACAAAGTTATAAAAATAATATTGCACAGTCTGAACAGGACAGAAACATGAAATATACATGTGCTTTCCTCTTACCAAAAAAACAACAACATCAAAACATTTTCAAGGTAGAAATAGGAATTTTTTTATAATGTACCAGAGACGAAACACAAGATAGAAGTGAATACACATTTAAAACAACTAATTATTTTTCCAACTTGTGAAATGTTTATAAAGGGGAAAAAAAAAATCTCATAGATTTATTTACTCTAATCCTGCATAAAAGAATTTCAAGTGCCATAGCTATTGAGGATTCCCTCTTGTTTAATTTGCATTTTGAATGCTGGTCAAGATTTGCACATACAAACTGAAGTTGTTCAGATACAAAACTTTTTGTCATTTTATTTTCTAATTTTTCATTTGCTTTTCAGCTCTGGTGAAAAGTTGACTCGGTTTTTTCTTACAATTTTTTGCTTAACCAATTTGTTAGAGACATCTTGAGCAAGTGAAGAATACCATTATGGGCAACAATATATGAGTTTGATTTGATTGCATGTGTAAAATTTTATTACTCTATGCTATATATCTTGTGTAATTAACAATTACCTCTTCTGACAAACAATTCAATCAAAAATCCAGTAATCCATATGCCACAACACGTTTTCCAGTCACCATTAACACTTTTTCCATAATCCACTGATAATAATTAATCCAGTTATATAAACATATATATATAAATATCAATAATGCAGTCAACTTTTTTTTTCTCTTTGTTTTTACACAAAATTTCAATAACAACCAATGTGCGTAATTGGTATTGATTTGGTGTGGAGATTGGATCAGGTGTGAGGATTGGTATATGCCTACCTTATGCATGCCAACTTGGGAGAATATGGGTAAGTCTGTAATGTCTTGGTGGTTTGATTGGCTTATGTCATGAGTTTGGAAACCAAGTGTGTGTAATGGCAGTGTTTGTCGTCTTTGGCATGACGGGTAACCAGCTGGGCTGAAAAAGTGGATGACTCGAATTCTGCTGCAGGAGAAAATTAAAAGCAAAGAAATTTGTAGGTGAAGTTTGAGGACACTTTGCCCTGTCACATGATCCCTGACACCATTTATAATAACCCTCAGCTTTCTTTAATCTGGATACTTTTTTATCAAATGAATCAACTTACTCCCCTCATACCCACAGAGATCATTGTTTAATCCTATGTGCCCGGGTTGGGTTCACGGGACACATACCACAACGTTTGTGAAAGAGTGTCATTTAACGTGGTATTATGTATTTGATGTCAAGAGTTATCGACTATTCATTTTACTCTATAATGCTGAGTTAGTGTTAGTTTGTGGTAGAAGAGAGTAAATACCAGATACGGTATATAGGGGTACTGAAACAAAACTGTAGATATGCATTTCAGAAGTTCTAGAGGTTATGCAAATTGAACGATACGTATTCTTATTCTTCACATGACCATCACCTTGCACTCCAACTTATTAGAATTTGAGACACTGACATCATCAATTCACAAACATGTAACACATCTGATTACTTGTGTACAAAAGACTTGTACATTTTCATAAAAGCTTGCCACATTTCATGTAGAAATATCTAGTAAATTTACAATTATAATCAACATTCTTTCTTCAATATAGTACAATGGACTGAACCTGTGCACATTCAATCAAGCATTTTATGTTACACCTTGTCAAATGCAAATACAACAAATCCACACCTTTACCCTCATCTACATAAACAGTATCCTCTTCAAAAAATGACTATCCAACAAAGTTTTAAACTTAGTTAAATGACTTTGCAAAGCATCTTTTATTGGACTTTAAAAAAAACTGTTCCAACCATTGTTTTAAGACTAATAGGACTATAATTACTGGGACAATTTTTATTAACTTACCTTCAAAAGAATAGGAACATTAGCCAATGCCCAATCCTGTGGCACCTGCCCACTATCAAGGACCTATAAAAAGTAGTGGCTCATATATCCAATCCTTAACCTCCTTCAGAATCTTTGGGGAAATGTTTTGTGGCCCAGGAGCTTTGTGTTTCTTTAAAGTTCCCAAATTTCCTTAACAAGTTCGGGATTAATGTGATCATCTTGTTTTCGTCTACCAATTGTTCAGGACATGGAATACTACTTAAATCTTCATTAGTAAAAATTGAAGAACAATTAGAATTTATTAACCCAGGTATGAGTCTTCCCTTGTCATCCTTCAAAGGCCTTACTCCCATCCTAACATTTTGTTGCCCTTAATATATATATATAGATCCTCACTTTTGTTTGATTTTTACTTTTACAGTTAACACACTTTCATATGCCCTTTTCAGTTTCATAATTTTTTACTCAACCAACTTTCTTGATCTTCTATAATTCTCCAAGTTCCTACCATAGCAGTCATTTTAAACTTCGGAATTTTTAATATATTTGTAAACTGATCTGGTTTTTTACTTGCAGCCACCTATTTTTTCTATAAGGAACTTGTCTGTCTTGAGTACTTTGAAATATATTTAAAACTATTTCTTTATTTGACCAGTATCTCCAATTAATTCAGAATATATAATATAATGAAAATTACGAAAAACTTTAAGCTATATATGTCAAATTATATTAAACATCATTTGAGCTATTGGCTGCACTAATATAAGCTGTGCTTTCTTTATCAGTTCATGTATAGGGTATTCTATTCCTATCAAAAATGAGCCGTAAATAGCATTTTACTTTAAAAATATTTATATAGTCATTTTACTAACTATGGGAAATAATAAAACTGAACCTGTCATTGTGCCATATATGTAAATATTATGATAAAAATATATATTATACATTAAAATTTATGTTAAACTCTGTAAACAGACCATCTTGCTTTCTCGGTGTATAAATCTCAGGATTTGTGTTCTCACTATTCTCTGTTAAATAAGAGGGAAATATTTTACTATATTAAACATTTATTTTATGTGTTTTGTTGGATGGAGAGAGAGCAAGTGCACTTTTAAGAGAAAGACAAGTAGATGTTTCTAACGTTTTGTCTCTTGTACAATAATATTTTGAGAAGGACAAGTAGATGTTTCTAACGTTTTGTCTCTTGTACAATAATTTTTATAAGAAAGAT